GAAGGATATCATGTTTCATAAGGTGGAGGGTCAGAGAAAAAGAGGAAGACTCCCAGTAAGATGGACTAGCAAAGTGGCAGCATGAATGGGCTCAAGTGTGGCAACAATTGTGAGGTTGGCCCAGGAATGGGCAGTGTTTCGTTGTTGTACACAGGGTCGCTATGAGTCGGTACCAACTCGATGCTACCTAACATCAACAACTAGGTGACTACTTTCTTTGTGAGTGTTCTCTGTAGGCATTTCATATGTACCTGATTTCTACCTTGATGACAAAATCCATCTCCTTAATGGTCCAGGACTGACTCAGTTCCCCATGGTCTATGGTGTAAGAGGACTCAAACCTGTTGACAAATCTAAAAATACTACTGGTCTAATACCTAGTATCTTAGAATTTCAGTTCCTTCACTGCATCCTGAAAAACCATTTCCTCCTTCCACTTCAATGATATAGCCTCATGATTGTATCTCTAGTGTCTTGCTTTCTCCCTACATTTCAGCCCCCAATGCAAATGTGAAGGAGCCCTAGCAGTGCAATGGCTAAATACCAGACTGCTAACCAAAAGGTCAGCAGTTTGAACTCACCTTCCTAAGGAGAAAAAGACCTGGAGATCTGAATCCATAAAGATCATAACCTAGAAAATCCTATAGGCCAATTTTACTCTGCCCTATAGGGTTGCTGAAGGAGCTCTGGTAGCGTAGTGGTTATAAATCGGACTGCGAATCACAAGGTCAGCAGTTCGAAACTACCAGATGTTCCACGGGAGAAAGATGAGGCTTTCTGCTCCCGTAAAGATTTACAGCCTCGGAAACCCTGTGCAGGTTTGCTATGAGTCGGAACCGACTCCACAGCACATAACAACAACATAGGGTCGCTGGAGTCCTGGCGTGGCTCTATGGGTTAATGACTGCAAAGCAATTTGAACTGCAAGGTCGATGACGGTTCAAGCTCCCAGCACTCCTTGAAAACCCTACACAGGGTCAGCTATGGGTCAAAACCAACTCGATGGCACTTAACAACAACATAGGATTGCTGAGCACTATAAAGCTGTAGGATAAGCAGTGGACAGTGAACCACAGGTCGGCAGTTCAAACCCACCTGTCGCTCTTGGAAACCCTATACATGGTTGCTAAGAGTCAGAATTGACTGAACGGCACACAAGAACAACATAGGGTGGCTGTAAGTTGGAATTAACTGGGCAGAACACAGTAACAGATCATCCAAATGAGCTTGCACAATCCATTATTTTAGTATTATCTTTTTAACACCCTTACTGCCCTCATTCTTCTGCCATTTAATGCAATCTGCTTGACGAAAGGCCAATTACAGATGTATCAAAATATGTTTGCTAAATTCCTACACCCAAGTTGTTTACAGGCGGACACACTAGTACCGTCATACATCATAGGGTCATTAACCACTACGGAACACTCAGTACTACTACAGAATCTTACATTTCTACAGTTAGTTCATTATGGCACATCTCACTCTCCTAAAGCTTCAGATCCTTTTCATTGCCCTCTTCTACAAAGAACAATTGTGAGGATAGCGCAGGACTGGGCAGTGTTTATCAGATGTACACAGGGTCATAGGAGTTGGAACTGACTCGATAGCACCTTAATGCAACAAAGATATTATCTTCCCTTTTACTCGATTAAGAAAGTAGAAGTAATGAAATAATACCCTCAAGCCACCAAATCTATTTAGTTACTTGCATCTATAGTCATCCTCTCTTTTTTTTTGATGCTACACTGGAGGAGATAGGCCCTGCCTTGGAAATTCTCACTTTAATTATTAAGTATTCCTTCTCTGCTCTACTACTGGCTATATCACATCAGTATTTGAGTCTGCTCATGTCTCACTACCTTAGAAGAAAGAGAGTCTCTCCTGACTCCATAGCCCTTTTCACTTATTGTCCTCTTTTTTCTACTTTTAGTCAAAGTTTTTAAGAGAAGTTTCTTTTCCTACTCTTGCTTCAACTCCATGGATTTGGGCTTCAATTTGTACACTCTGTCAGAGGAGCTCTTGCTAATGAAATCAGATGACAAAATCCAGAAGATACAGTTCTCGTCTCAATTTCTTGACAATAGACACAGCTGATCACTCCTCCTACTCCATTTGGCTTCTGTGGAAACCATAACTTCTATTTAATTCTGAATCTCTCTCACTGCTTCTTCTCTATTTATTTATTTATTTATTTTTCTCCAAAGCAATTTTAAGAGATTATCTTCATCTTCTTTTGTAAATTTAACAGATATTGACCCACTTGTTCAAATTTATTCCTTTAATAGCTAAAGCATTAAACAATGACAGTTTTTACTTTCAATCCTTAATAATCTTACATTCATTATATTTGAGATTGTTTAGCTTTCTCATGGAGAGAAAACAGCCTAGGTATAAACCTTTTATAGTATCTACATGCTAGTCCTGCAACACAATGTTAACACAAAAGTTTTACTGATATCTGTATAATTTCTATGATGTGGACAGAGAGATCAACAAGAGTGACTGTCATCTGACCGGTCTTAAAAAGTCATTGTTCAATCCATTTCAATATGTGGTTTATCTTATTCTCTATATCTTCTGGGTTACTGCTAAGCAACTGACATACTACTTCACTGTAGGAGGCCGTGACTTCTTCATAAATAACTTGAAAATTTTCACACTGAATATTGTCTTGTAGTTTCTTCTCATTATAAGCCATTTCAAATCTTTTGTACAATATGCTGTTATCTGTTCTCCACACAAAAACAGTGTAAAACCAGTAATCAGGGAAGAAATCACAACCACGGTAATCAACAATTACACCACCTTTTTTCATTTGGTTTTCTAACTCATCAATTACTCTATCTTCATCTAAAATGGGAAAATCATACTCGTCATCATAGCATTCAAATAACTGTATCTCGTTACCTAAATCACCCACATTAATGTAGTTCAGTCCTGATCTTGATGCAAGTTCTTTGCCTAGTGTGATTTTTCCAACCCCTGGTGTACCCGGGTTGGGTACTATAACACTTCTATAACACACTTTCATCTCCCAGTCCGAGACAGGGGCATAGTTCTCTATTTTTTGCTTTTTTTTCTTTTCCTAAATTTTATATGCTGGGTTCTCATTCACCCTCTCTCTGGTGATTTCACCTACTCCTATGTCTGTATTTAACAACTGAATGCTTATTAATTGTCATACAATCTACTCATGGCTACCTTAAGTATAACAGAACAAAACTTTGTCCAGTCCTGGGCCATCATCATGACAATTAGCATGTTTAGTCCATTGTTAAAAACTATTGTGTCAATCCATCACATGTTGTTTTCATTGGGCCTCCACATAACATGATGCCCTTTTTAGCAACTGTTCTTTCCATATGTGTTCAAAGTATGCCATTCTTTCATCTAAGGTACATTATGGTTGTAATTCTTCTAAAACTTCAAATTCTTTTGGCAATCTGTGGTATATTTCATATTCTTTGCAAACACCACAATTTAAATATATTGCTTTTTCTTTGTCTTTTTTTCATTGTCCAATTTCACATGCATATGATGTCATTGGGTCAGATACAGCTTAGTCTTCAAAGTGATATCTTTGCTTTTTAAAACACTTAAGAGGTTTTTTGCAACCAATTTGTCCAATGCAATATATATCATTTGGTTTCTAGACAACTGCATCCATAGACATTGATTATTGATTCAAATAGAATGCAATTGGTGAGAACTTCAACCCTATAGATATAAAAGTTTATATCTCCCAAATTTATCACTCTAACAATATTTCTCTTTAATAAGTTAAGATCCAAGGCCATATAACTATCCACAAGTCTAAAATTGAATTCATGAGAGTCACTCCTCCCAAATTTCTCCTCCAAGGTTCCCAATCTCAGGAAATTACATCATTATGCTTATGTCAGAAACCTGGGCTTCACACTTCTCTCTCTTTACCCTACAATCAATTTATCATCAAACTGTTTATCAATGCTTTCTCCTAAGTATCAGTTAAATCCCTCTACTTTTTCCATTTCCATTGCTATTAACTTAGAGCAAGCATTTATAATCTCCTTCCCAAACCATTGTTGATTCTTGCTCTTTGATTCCATTCTCCATGTGACAAGACTGCAAATTTTAAAGTGTGAAATACCTTTTAACGGTTATCCAATTTTTTTTTTTTTTTTTTAAGGTTTTTATTGTGGATTGAGTGAAAGTTTTCAGGGCACATCATTGGTTTCACATTCAAATATTCATATACCTTGTTACATTACATTGATTATAATCCCCTCCACATACCATCAGTTAACAGAGTTTCTCTATATCCTCTTTAGCTTTTTTTGGGGGTAAAAACTTTGCCTTTTTGGAATTTACAGTCTCGGCTTTTAGGGAAGGTTTTTACATTTATCTGTGGGTATCCAGGGCTCATGTATGGAATTACTAACCAGCATAACTGAATAATGAGATAAGGGACATTTTGCTATGTCTGCTAGGTGGCTAAAGTCTGATCCTCAGAGCCTTTGGTTTGGACGGTCAGCAACGCTTGCGCCCACAGGGACTTGAACTCCTAACTGGGTCTGCACGGTCTGCATCAGATTCCCCCTTATTTATTATTTGTTTAAGGGACGCTGCCTGTCTTAGGCTATCCAAATTTTGTAGTGCCCAAAAGCTTAACATGTTTAGAAAGCCCAGCATTATCTGACTAAATGTCCAGCCTTAGTTTGTACCGTTCTCCCCATTCCCTGTTTTTTCTTCTAGCTGTAAGCACAGTAATGAATCAGTTCCTTAAATGTCTCCCATTCCTTCCCATCTTAGAGTCATCCACATAGTCCATCCACCCCTAAATGCTGTCAACTCTCCTACTGTGCCCTTATCCAAGTGAACTATGATTTATCCTGAAAAACATCATTTTTTCAGGGAAGTCTTTTCTGAATCCTGGATTGTGACAAATCCCTGAGGCATGCTCTCTTGCACACTACACCCTTTTCTAACACTAACTTTCTTTGTAGATAATTATCTTTGTTCACATTCCCTTGAAAATGATAAACTTTATGACAGAGGCTTGGTCTTGTCACATTCATAGATATGCCCCTAGCATTCTGCATGATGCCTGACATATAACAAGCTCATAATTATTTGTTGAAAGAATAAATGAACAATTGTGATGATAGTAACCATCACAACTGTTTATCAAGATTCTGGAAATAAAATTTTGAGTGAGAAAGATAATACATTTGCTGCATCCTTCTCCAAGAAATATGAGGGGGCTTCAAAACTTCATTGAAACATTTATTTTTCAATTCAATTTTTCCAAGAACTTTTTGAAGGCCCCTAGTAAACAGTTCATCAGAATATTTTTTTTAAGAGGCAAAAAGAAAGCTAGTAAATAAACAGCATTCGAAAAATAATAATGAATGACATAGCCACAAAGGGCTGATATGAAGACAGGGCATACGCATAAGAACACCCACACCACAAGATAATACCCACTTGACCTAGCTTAAATGACTGGATGATCAGAGCTCAACCAGAAGAAGAAAGAAGAGGAAAAAAAGAATAATCTGATACAATTTGATGAACCTGACCTACACCTATGGATGCAGTAGCTCAAAAGAAGGAACAGATCTTTACAGCAAGGATCATTCCCACTCCCCTCCATACACAGGGTAGACAGGGATGGGCAACTTAGACACTGGCTACCCAAAATGGAGGGCTACAAAGGCAAGAAGTGACTGGCTTACAAGCTTTCACAAGAAGGAGCCTAGATCCAGAGGGAAAGGAGGAAGGCAGAATCTCCACTGAGTAGTATCCAATCTGTCTGGGCAGGCCTGATGAAAGGAGATGCGGATAGTTCTCTTGTGGTACAATAGTGAATAATTGTTATCAGGACTGATTGTGAGGGTTGAAAATGTAAAGGTAGATGTTTTGTAGCAAAAGCAGGAGAGTGGTTGATTTTGCAGTCTAGGAGTGGAGGTCCCTGAGACCATCAAGAGAGAAGAGCAGAGAGCGGCACCCTACCCAGAGAAGCAGTGACACCAGAGACGAAGGCAGAGATGATCATGTTGAGAGATGGAGCAGCTGAGGACTTTAGACCCAGAGAGGGAGAGGGGCTGTGTGCTGACGACCAGGGGGCAGGCTTGCAGGGAATACCCTCTGGTTGGTTGATGATGCATGGAGGGGATTGTAACCATTATAGGATAGGATGAATGTAAAGCTAATGGTCTCCCATGTAAATTATCACATAATTCACAATAAAACATTAAAAAGAATAATACTACTACTGAAGGTGAAATTCTAGAATTCATAATCCAAGAAACATATTTCATTTTGTTGTTGTTCTAGTTTGGTTTGGAGGCTTCCTAAATAAATCAATGAATAAGGGAGCGTTATACTTACACAAAGGCTAGGAACAAGACTAGATAAATTGACATGCCGTGGTGCAAACATATGAAGCTGTTGGAGGCATGATATGGCAGCTGCTTGAACAAGAGAATCGGAATGGTCCTGGGTTATTGCACAACCCACCAAACAAGAAGAACGGATAGTAGAAATGATTGCTCCATTCCCTAGTAGCAAAAGAAAATGCAAAATACAATTATTTTATTAATATTACCAAAAATATTCCTAGAAAAACAATGATCTCCTAAAGAAACCCTTCTTCCAATTACAATTCATATAGCTATAAAACCAAAAAATATGAAAAGTATATAGAAATTATTTTGAAATACAACTGCATTTGGATGTCAATAATGCATCTTTCTTAGATTTAGTAGGTTTACATTTATTGTTTTAAAGTTGTCATTGTTTCATTTGAAAGAATCAGATATTTCCTTATCTGGTTCTCTTTGCAACCAGTAGAGTCCTATATATTATGCAACAACTTGAAATCCTCTTTTCCTAATAAGATTAATTGCAATTTTGTCAGAACTAAGAGAAAATAAATTACTATATATTCTATCTATAATTATTTCTTACTTGTCCAATAGAAGTGATATAAAAATTTTATCAATATAAAAAAAATTATCTGCATATAAAGACCAAACAAGGAAATCAAAATGTCACACAGGAGTCACACTGTAGTTCAGGAATATATATGCACACCAGACAGTACCCAGTACACACCCATGTTTAACCAGTGGTGTGCTTACTTCCTGTTTCTGTATCCCTGTGATATTCACAGGGAGAAAAAAATATCCTCAGTTTATCAGAGATGACAATAAGAAAGTAATATGCCTAAATCAAATATTGCTAGTATTTTTAAGACATTATCTTTATTTTCGGATTTATTTATTATTTTTAAACTACCTATCCAAATGGAAGAAACAAAGCACAGTAGGTAAGAATGCAGGCAGTGGAAGGGAGGGTTAGAACTAAGAGTGAAGTGTCCAGCTGTTATGAAGTGAGGGGAGATGCACAAGAAAGCCCAAACATTCACACAGTACCCATCAGACCTAGTCTCATTGGCTTGATGATCAGAACTCAACTAAAAGAAGATAAAAAAATTTTGATAAAGGAAATAAGTGTAAATTACAACAATCTGATAAGCTTGACCTATACTTATGGATGTAGTACCTCAAAATACTGAGAGGGAAGGAGTCTTTACATCAAGGATCAATCCCTCTGTATACGGGGTTGACAGGGACACACAACTTAGACACTGGTTACCTAAAATGGGGGTGCTATAAAGGCACAAAGTGACTGGCTTACAAGTTTTCAAGAGGGAGTTTAGTTTTAGAGTGTGCGGGGGAAGGTAGAATCTCCACTGAAAAGTTTTCATTTTGTCTAGTTCTGGTGTGGTGCTGTGGGTTAATGCTCCAGACTAAGTCGTCTGAACTGCAAGGTTGGCAATTCAAGCTCACCAGCTGCTCCTCAGAAACCCTATATACAGGGTCACCAGGGGTTGGAACCGACTCTACAGCACTTATCAACAAGAAGATGGGTCTGGTAAAAGGAGATGGTGATACGATTCTTATGATTCAACAGATAGTAATTGTTATCATGACTAACTGCGACTGTCCCAACTGTAAAGGTAGAAGTTTTGTAACAAAAACAGGGGAGTACTTAATCTTACAGTCCAGGAACAGAGGACCCTAGGACCATCAAGGAAGAAGAGCACAAACGAAATGTGGGATCCTATCCAGAGAAGCAGCAACATCTGCGATGGTGGCAGAGATGAGGACATGGAGAGAGAGAGCAGCTGAGGACTCTAGATTCATGGAAACAGAAAGGCTGTATGCTGGTGGCCAGGAGACAGGCTTGCAAAATATACCCTTTGGTTGTTTAAATGATCATATGTTCCTGAATGTTTCTGTGTACATACCCCCAAAAAAATAAAAAATAGAGGGAACAGAAGCAAATACTGTTGAACGATGATGCACAGAGGGTACTATAATCACTGCAATGAAATGATGAGTGTAAAACCAATGTTCTCTCATGTGAACTACAACTTAATTCACAATAAACAAAAATATATAGACAGTGGAAATTATCTGTTAAGGAGAAAACAAAACTATGAAAGTGGTTTATATATTCAGAAAAATTTCACATTAACACTAAAATTTTACTTTAACACTAACAATTATTTTTGTGCAACTGAATGGTAAGAACATGGACTTTAGAATCATACTCGTACATGTGTCAATCAAAAACTCAGTAATATTATCTACTTTATAACAGAGGTTGTTCACACTGTATTCTCAAATCCTTAAGGTTCATGTAACAAGCAGTGTAGCCAGCCTCAGTAAATGGCAAGAAATCCATATGCAATAATCATTATTTTACTACATTTCTTTAAGCAACACAATGGTGATATTTAGGAAATTGAAAGACAGGAATAAAACTGTCTAGTTACTTTAATTTAAAATGTTACTTTAAATTAAAATTTACTTACCTTGTAGCTCAGGGCCAACAGTTGTGATTATAGCACCCAAGCATCTACCCAAACACTGATGAACTTCTGTATGTGAAGGTGGAACTGTCAACAACAAGGTAAGAACTAGAGATAATGTTGGTTCCACATACCCACGATACATTGGGCCACTAGAATCCACTATCAAAGCAAGTGAATGAAGAGACCAAGTCTGGAAAAAAGTGTGATTTTTATTTTAGTTCTAGAGAATAATTATATATACTGAAATGATTTCTTTTAGATTAAAATTTACTAAATATGAACATCATAGTTTTAAATCAGTGATCTAGAAATACATTAAAATATATTCATTAAGACATAAATGGTAGCACGTAAGTTACCAAAGGCCAATAACCAAAGTAACCGGTATTCAAATATGATGCTTCATGTTTTTCCGAAGCATGGCTTTGAGTGCCAGAAATAAAATTTCAGTGACAAATTTATCTTCTTCTATTATTTACATATTTCACACTTTGAAAAGACAATGACTCATAAAAGAAGTTTTTGACATAGTGGATGTTTACAGATATCACGTATGTCTTTACTGCTTATACTGCTGCTGTTTTGCTAGCAAATTAGTCTGAAATAAAACATCCATAACAACATTCTATACTTATACATTCGTAGAACAATGACATTACACAAGAGCTTTTAAAGTGCATATAACCATTTTAGACCCCTATTTATGTTTATGAAGTGCAAAGTAATGTTATTGTTTACCAAATACTTTCACTCAAATTGACTCCAGAGCAATTTAATGTTATCAGCAGAGTACTGAGAAAAGTACAAGACCAATCAGCTGCTTACATTTAAGTATACGAGGGGAAGTCAAAATGTTCAGCTACAAAAGCACAGAAACCTTTACTAACAAAAATATCAATATGTAAAGCTATTGTTTCTTCTCCCTCCAGTTCTATACACTTCTGAAGGAGTTATTTCCATCTTCCTAACCCTTCTTCAGGAGTCCTGGTGTGGCACTATGGGTTAATGCAACAGACTGCAAAGCTGTTTGAACTGCAAGGCCAGCGGTTCAAGCTCACCAGCCGCTCTTCGGAAACCCTATATTAGGATCACTATGGGTCGGAACCGACTCAATGGCACATAACAACAACAACCCTTCAAGAATTCTGTGCTTTTCAACTTATGCCATGTCAAAACATCAAAGGAACATGATCCTTACAACAATCAATCATTAAGACCAAGCTCTGTAAACTTTCACCCAAACTACAAAAAATATCCCCAGAAAACTAGCCCATAATCACATAATCATTCATTAACTCAGAAGCTTATTATAAAAGCCACTGTCTTTTGGTGTGAAATACATGCGTATTATATATATATAAAGATCATTATCACTGAAGTTTTTTCTGGACACTCTATCACTCCAGAGAGAGATACTTTAAATACAGCATTTGTACATCAGCTTTGTTGATTGCTTAAATTTTACCTTTTATTTCCTAAGAAACAAATTTGAAAGTTATTACAAAAAAAATGATTATACTGCGAACTACAAAGTCAGCAGTTCAAGTCCACAGACACTTTTCAGGAGAATGATGAGGCCTTTAAGCTCTTGCAAAGATTTACAGCCTTGGAAACTCTACACAGGAAACTCTACACATTTAACAATAACAAGAAAGTATCTACTAAAATTTAATTTAAACAATTAAGTTGCTATTAACTTCTCATGTACAGTATCAGAATAAGAGAATGAAATATTTTTTTAAATTGGCAGAAGAAGACTGCATATCAAAACTAGAATACCCAATTAAAATATTCAAAATTTAGGTGGGATATGTTCAAGGTCATATTTTGGCTCTTGTGGATTTGTTTCAATTATCTTCAGGTTGTGCCTGAACTTGCAAGTGAGAAATTCGTCAGGTTCATCATCACTGGCTTTAGTGGTTACAACACAAATTTGAGTAACAGTGCTATTAACTGGTCTTCCTTAAAGGCTTTTGGGTATTAATCCTATCAGACAACACTGTACTTCAAAACAGATCTTGTAAGATTCCTTTTGATGATAAATGCTATGCCATTTCTAGTAAATTTGTTGTTACCAGCATGTTAAACCATATGATTGTTGGATTCAAAATAACCAATACCAGTCCATTTCAGCTCACTGATGCATAGGACATTGATTTTAATGTGTTCTACTTCCTTTTTGATATCTTCCAATTTTCCAAGATTCATACTTCATATATTCCATGTTCTGATTATTAATGATGCTTCCAGCTGTTTTTCCTCATTTTAATTTGTGCCCTATCAACAAATGAAGGTCCCAAAAATCTTTACTCCATTTGTGTCATCACTATCAACTCTACTTTGAGGAGGCAAGTCTTCCACAGTTGTACTGTGAATGCCTTCCAACCTGAAGGGTTCATCTTCCGACACTCTATCTGACAATATTCATAAGGTTTCCAATGGCTAAACATTCAGAAGTAGTTTGCCTCTCCTTTCTAATCTGTCCTACTGTTGAAGCTCTGCTGAAATCTGTCTACCCACTTAGGGTGACCCTGCTGGTACTGAAATTACCATGGCAAAGCTCCCAGCAACACACCAACATACAAGCTACCACAGTACAACAAACTGACAGATGTGTAGTGAATAGCACACATTGTTGTTGTTGTTGTTAAGTGCCATCAAGTCTGTTTTGACTCAAAGCACACATTAATGGTAATTAACTACCACTTCTCTATTGGTGTGTCCCACTGTGGTGGCTTGTGTGTTTATGATGCTGGAAGTTATACCATGTGTATTTCAAATAACAGTAGCGTTACGAATGGTGGATGGGTTTCAGTGCAGCTTCCAGACTAAGCCAGTCCACGGAGAAAGACCTGAAAATCTATTTCTAAAAATTAGCTAATAAAAACTCTATGGATTACAACAGAATTCTATCTAACAGCCCTCAGGTTAGAAGGCACTCACACTCCATACAAGTAGCCACAATGAATTTAAAATTAACAACACAGGAAGATAGCACAATAGCACGCAACATTTTGATCTGTTTTACATAGATTTATCATGAATCTGAACTAACTCAATGGAAACTAACAGTAACGGCAATTAAATCTGCCTCTTCTCCCAACCTGTGAGTTGCAATGTGAGCTGGCAAGTGAAATGCTTTTGCTTACATTCATTCTTAAAAATTTTAGGTTCGTCAACGTGAAGTGACAAATCAAAAGTGTGGACATTTTCACACATGTAGAGATCGAGATCCTCATTGTAGTTATACTATTTACATATAAAATGTTTAATAAGAAACAAAACAAATACACACACATACACACAAATATATATCCAAGTATGCACTTGAAGATTCAGTGACCCAGGGCTTGGGTTAGGGTACTAGCAGAGAGAGGGGAAAAAAAGGGCAGTTATTAAAAGAAATATCTATTTAACAAATATTAGAAGTGCCAAAAAAGGAAAAAAAAAAACAAAAAGAAAGAGAAAGCAACATAAAGGATGTTTAAAGAAAAGCTTGTGAATGGCTTAAAATCTCAAAATAAACTAAGTGAAAAAAAATCTTATTATATGACATTAAGAATATGCCAAAAATATGACAGACATCTTAATAAAATTTCCTAGCAACATAACCGAACCATTACTATTTTATAAAGGAAATAATTTCCTAAAATGTTCATGTAAAATTTCACAATGAAACAATTAATCATATTATACCTGGACTTCAGGGGACGTCCCATCTTGTGCGAGAGCCAGTAAAATGCTGACACTAGTCTTCAGGTGTTGTCCTGAGCCTATACCACCAACATAACGATGCAAACAACCAAGAGCCAATGAATGACCAGTTCTAGAAACAACATCTCGAGCTGATTTCAACCTGAAAAAAAGTTTATTTTTCAGGGATTGATTTTTCTATTTCTCTGTGGCAACTCAACTCAATACTAAGCTTCTGAGTTATACAACTAAAGGGATTTATTCTAGAAATGAGAAAAGATTATAATCGTGATTATTTCTGTCCACCCATTCTCTATATCCTAACAAGGGAAGACAGTCAATTTAAAATGGCTGGATGAAGACATACATTTTACCGAATAAAGCCTACTTTAATTTCAGAGAGGTAGAACAAAACCATTTCATTTTTCAATATTAATTATACCTCAAAAATACAAAAGCTATTTAAAAGTTAATGATATAATTTAAAAAGAAAGAAATAACAGCTTTTATGACTGGCTTAGAAAACAAAAAAAAAACACGATTTATAGCCACATAATTACTACAAAGTGTTTTTAACTTTCACTTAAGAAATTTCCTAAAGTTATGATTTGATCCTCTTTAAAATGGGTCAGTCCTTTTTTTTGTGTGTGTGTAATATGTTGTTAATGAATTCAAGAAAATGAAAGAGGAAATATATTTTTAAATTTTGTATATTTTAAAATTTATTGTACATACATATAGCTTTACTGAGCTATATGTATGTACAATAAAATTCACCAATTTTAAATGTAAAATTTAATGAATTTTGATTAACACATATGTACTATGTAACCATCTGATAATCAGGACATAAAACAGGACTGACCAATATTATGCAAGCCACAGGATATTTTAAAATTTCTAGTCATGTTTTTAAGAAAAGGGAAAACAGAAACAGGTGAAATTCATCTTAATAAGTTTTGTTTAACGTCATCTATTTAAAACATTAAAATTTCAAGATACAAAAAAAAAAAACAAAAAACAAAAAAACAAACACCTTAACAATCATGAATAAGACATTTTATATTTTGTCATGTTAAGTTTCTGAAACCCAATGGGTACCATATACTTACAGCACATCTCTATTTGAGCAAGGCACATGTAGCTAGTGTCTACCATACTGGGAGGACAGATAATAAGGTATTTCCATCATACCAGAAAGTTCCCTCATATTCTTTTTGCAGTCGTTTTCCTCTCCCCAACTCCCTGACAACTACTGCCTGTTTTCTATTAATAGAGTTTCACTTTTTATATCATTTTATACAGATGGTATCACACAGTACAAAGTCTTTTGTACACAGTCTTTTCGGTGAGCATAATGCTTTTGAGATTTATCCAATTTATGGCATCAGTAGTTTGTTGTTTATTAATAGCTGTGTGGTACTCCCTTTATGACATACAACAATTTACTCATCCATGGACCAACTGATAATCAGAACCAAAGAAATTCTTTCCACTTTTAGAGCTGTTATACATAAATCTTCTAGGAAAATTTAAGTGCAAGTGTTTGCATGTTTTCATTTCTCTTTGGTAAATATCTATGGTGGAACTACTGGGTCACACAGTAAGCGCATGTTTAAATTTATAAGAAATGGTCAAATAGTTTCCATAGTGGTGATATAATTTTGCATATCTAGTAGAAACATATGAAAATTCCAGATCCTTGCCACCACTTGATACTTTCATTCTTTTCAAATGCAGCTGTAGTACTGTGGGTTAATGTGAAGGACTGCAAAGTCAGTTTGAACCACAAGGTTGGTTCAAACTCACCAGCTGCTCCTCGGAAACTCTACACAGGGTCGCTATGGGTTGGAAACAACTCAACGGGGCTTAACAACAACAACCATCTAAAGAGCAAGGAGCTCTGGTAGTGAAGTGGTTATGAATCAGGCTGCTAAACTCAAGGTCAGCCGTTCAAAGTTACCAGCTGTTCCGTAGGAGAGAGGTGAGGTTTTCTGCTCCCATAAAGATTGACAGCCATGAAACCCTATGCAGGGTTGCTATGTGTGGGAACTGCCACCACTGCCACCAATCTAGTGAGCATTATAATAACTTCTTTGGTAAAACTGGGAGTGCAAATGAGTGGTGCAAATGTTTAAGTGCTGTGCTGGAAACTAAAAGGTTGGCCATTCAAGCTAGAAGTACCTTTAAATATTTAGATTTCATTGTTTTATTCGCATTTAATTGGGAATGAAGAGATTTTAAATGGATCAAACCTTTACGACTCATTTTGGACAACCAGATATCAAATAAAGAACATTCAAAACTTTTTAGCCAAAAATCACAGTTATTAATAATCATGGACATCAAAGTAGGGCAGTTTGAATTTCAAGGTCGGCAGTTCAAACTCACTAGCCATTCCTCAGAAACCCTATATAGGGTCACTTTGGTCAGAACCATCTCAACAGCACATACAACAACAACAACAACAATATAGCAACCAGTGGAAGATAGGATAAAAAAACATTAAAAACACCTTCAGAATTCTTATAATACTCACTAGTCCATCAGGGACTAAAATTCTGGCACCTTTACACAAATAAAACAAAGTCAAGACACTAAAATGATCAAAAATCATCACCAAAACTCAGGTGGTCAGTTTACCAATTGGAAAGAAAGGAAAATTCAAAATGCTGCCACAGAACAGATATTAAGATGCGTAACAATGAATGAAGTGAACTAAGTTTATCCTGAGCAATATGTCAACATGTTACAAGTTTGGAAAAGTGATCTTTCTCTCACTAAGTCTGTGATTCTCTAGCTATAATATGGACATCATTACACCTACATAGTAATCATTGTGAGGAATAAAAGAAGACTACGAATCGGGCTGTGAACTGCAAGATCAGCAGTTTGAAACTACAAGCCGCTCCGCAGGAGAAAGTTGAGGCTTTCTGCTCCCGTAAGGATTTACAGCCTCGGAAACCCTGTTCAGAGTCGCTATGGGTCGGAACCGACTAGACAGCACTTAACAACAACAACAACAACAAAACAAACTGTAAATTATAAGGCATTATACAGATTAAAAGGCTATCTTCATGTTATTACTTCTCAAAAGATACCATTTTAATAAACTAAAAACCAACGCCAGTCTTCTGTTCTGTAAAGCACATTTCTTTGAAGTCTCAAAGTAGTTTTACAACTGGCATGGAAACAAATTAGCAAAGGTTTCTTTATTTACCTAAACAGGGTATTAAGAAATTTAAGCTACTTCGCACCACTTAAAATGGTTTATAAGAATAATTCCAAGGGAATTTTTGGTCTGAATACTAAGATGAGAAAAAATTTCAATTAGAAAATATAGTTAATCAATCTGTATGTTCAGATGATTTTGCCTTTTTGTTGTTGTTAAGTGCTGTCGAGTCAGTTCCGACCCACAGTGACCCTGTATAGGGTTTCCAAGGAGCAGCTGGTGAGCTTGAACCACCGACCCTGCAGTTCAAATGACTTTGTAAGGTCATATATTATACTTGGTGTGACACTATGGATCAGCACTGGATTGTGAACTACAAGGTCAACAAACCCATCAGCTGCTCCTTGGAAACCCGATACTTGGTCGCTATGAATCAGAACCACTTGACAGCACTTAATAACAACAACACATTATGTCAGCAACAGATAATGCTGACCGAAACAGTCTAAAATAATAACTCTGCATGGAATGGAAGTTTTTCCAGAATACTATCAGATGCCATCAACTCTAAAATCCATGTATTATTAATTTTACATATAAGTATAAAAACTACTGCCAATTATGACAATTGTAGAGAATAAAACACATCCCAATTTCAGATAGATTAAAATGTGAAAAAAAGAGTAACTTAAAATTTATATGATGATTAATTTCCAATTACAATAAGTAATGTGAAAAAGTTAATGAAAATAAGCTGACAATACTAGAACACTTTAACCAGACATGTATAGATGAGTGAACTGTCTTCATGCATTACCAGAATACAAAGTAAATACACCTACAAGCATTAAAAATTAATTAAACAAACCCCTTCTAACTAAAAAAAATTACCATACAAGAACTTCCCAAAGGAACACACAACTATTTTACCTATTATTAATCGAGTATAAACCACGAAATAGCTAACAGAGACTAATTCTTTTCTCAACATCTTTAGCAAAAGGTTATTTCAGAATCAATGGCAAATATTGGAAAGAGCAAGGCTAATCTAGTGTGAGAAGATATCAGAAATCACCCTGCTGGAAAAATAAGTGTTTGGGGTAGTTTTAATTATCTTCTGCCTGTTCAAACTCTTCTCAGCTACTGAAACAATATTATAGCCAGGCAAATTGATAATCACATGTAAAGACACAGAAAATCATCCTTAGATCTACACGAGTTCAGAAAACACTTTTTCTTCAGAACTACCATTTTGTAATTGCTAATTCCCATTTCCTTTCTTTCTCATTAATGATTATGTTACAGTCTGGTATAATTAATATCTAAAATATATAACAGTTACAATGAAAATCTACATAATCCAAATGTCAGTTCTTGACCACTTAAGATTTTCAATTTCTCTACTCAATTACATAATTAACAATGGTGTTGTTGTTAAGTGCCGTCAAGTAGGTTACTACCCATAGCCACCCTCTATAGGGTTTCCAAGCTGGTGAGCTTGAACCACTGACCTTGCAATTCAAACCAATCATGCAGTACAGCTCATTAATCCACAGCGCCACATGGGTCTGTAAACAATAACTGCATTGGTTTCTTCGTACTTATTGCTTTCTGTTGTTGTTGTTAAGTGCCGTCCAGTCAGTTCTGACTCACAGTGATGCTGTGTAAGGTTTCCAAGGAGCAGCTAGTGGGTTTGAATAATGACCTGTGGTTAGCAGTCCAATGTTTATCCTACAATACGATACCATGACTCCATGCTTACTACTAGAAGTTAGAAAAAGGTGACTTGTTCCAAAAAGTGAATAATTAACAGAAAGAAGAAATGGTAGTGGGAGAGGATAGAGAGAAAAGATAAAGTATGATGGGGAGACTTGTAGGATGACTTTAAAGCACTTTGTGTCTAAATGCACTTAGTATTCTTCTCAATTCCATCACATTGTATTCAAGAACCAAACTGGAAACTTTCCCTACACTAGAAGCATCTAATACATGATAACTTTCTTGGAATTTTAATCTATTACTTCATTGCAGTTTATTATCATTATGAAGAAACATAAAATAGTATCACTTGCTATATACCAAGTGGGAAACTTATGGTCCAGTTAATAACTATTAATTACTTTATATGAAAAACCTATTTGTTGATAGAGAGACCCACTTACTTGTCAAAGCTATATTGCGCCATTCTAGCAATAAAAGTTGCTTCTCCAACTACTTGAGCCATCCTTCCAAGAGCTTCTCCTGCCGCACATCTTAAGATGGGGTTTGGGTTGTCAAGAGCACCCATCACCAATGTCAGAGCAGATTTACGAACCTCCTCAGGTCCTAAAGTACTTTTGTTTTCAGCTAAGCCCTGTATTTATTCAAAAAAAAAAAAGAAAACTTGTAACACATTACACAAAAGAAAAAATGTGCTGCAAACTTCCTAAGTATACAGGTATCTTTAGACATTATTTTCTTTAGCCACTATAGGGCAAGTACTGGACTGTTAACCACAAGGTTGGTGGTTGAAATCCACAAGCCACTTCTCAGAAACACAATACAGGGTCACTGTGAGTCAAAGCCAAATTGATGGCCCTTAACAACAACAACCTTCAACTGTATTTACTAGGTTGAGAATCAATACCTACTAAATTAACAAAAATTATTATTCTAAATATGATTTCAGAACAGAACATATAACATAGTCATAGGGCAATTGGTCCAAAATCAACAATCCCTAGGAGAAATCTCAATCCAAAGAATAATACTTAGAAGTTGATTTTCTCTTTACTTTTTCCTTAATAAAGCTGTTGTTGTCAGGTGCCATCGAGTCGA